TTTGCTTTCCAAAGTTGAACTTTCCGAACTCAGAACACCTTATCACACTTTCACAAGCTTTCTCTCTGAAAATGGAAAAAAGAAAAGGGGTGGGGGGGGGAGCCTGTTAGGACTTGTGCCAGTTAAATCCGATCTCTCCGGGGATTTGTTTTTCTTCTGGCGTCAGATTAGATGTTCACATCAAGCAGTGTTTGGAGGACTGCAAGGGAATGTCCATGGGATTCTTAGTGAGGATAATCCTGAAGCAGCGGCACATTCCAAGGGGCTAATCTGCCCAAGTTCATTGCTTACTTGAAACGTCTCTTGGGGGAAGAGCCAGGCAAGTGACTTTTTTTTCAGTGGGCGGTCATAAGAGCATTATTAACGGGATGACCAGCCCCGGCCACAGCAAAATGAAAGCAACAGGAGCCGCTCCAGGGACTGCCGTTGCCACCAGCCAGAGTCAGTGCACAGGTAAAATGATTTCAGCTTAACTTTTCTCTTCTTTAACTTCTCAGCATTGGAGCTGGGGACCTAGAGAAAGACCAAATAGACAACCAGAGAGTTGTTGAGGGAAAGCAAAAGGTGCAAATGGACATATGTGTTCAGTCCCTTTGGGTCTTGGTATTTGCTGTAATCAAGACAGAGAGTCTATCTGAAATAGAAAAATGTGAACATGAGGAGGGTGGTAAAGTCTTCCTTGTAATTTGTTTCTATAAAGTTAATGTACTTTAAAAAAAAAAAAACAACCTTGCGATTACTGGTCTGGGTTATTGTCCCTCTATATTGCTCTGCTAAAAAAACGATTGCAATTGCTTTCTGATGGATTTCATACATTCTCTGTGTGTGTACTCATAAACTACTCCCTCGCAGAGAAGGTCTGGTTTGTAGCTAGCCAGGACTGCACAGAAAGAAGATTCAAAGTAGTCTAAAGTTGGAGTCTAAAGTTGTTGGCTGAGCCTTTGTGAAAGAATTGAAACTTGCTTAAATGAAATTATTCAAGTTTTCTTCTTCTTTTTAAGGCAATATTTACAACCTTCTTGTTTGGGTTTTGATCATTTTGATGCTTTATTGATTGCACACTTCGTTTTCAAAATTTGAACTTGTTTTATTCTCTGAGGGTAATTATTATACTGTGTTAAAAAATGTGAGTGTTCTCATTTTTGTTCTGAATAAGATGTCCTTTAATTATTAGCCTTTGAAAAACACTTCCCTGTAACACATCACACATGACTGATAATGCAGAAAGACAAGAAGAAAATAGCCCTTCAGAGACTCAGCCATGGTTATGTGACCATTCTACCTCTGGAAAAGAATGTACAAAAGTGGTTTTTCTGAGAGTTGATAGAAGCCATCTTTTCTAAGAGAACCTGAGCCCTCCAAAGCATATTAAAGAAAAAGATGTTCAGACAAACTGGCCATTGATGTCTTGCATTAGAAGAGAATTACAAGGTCAGTTAGAAACACAGTGTGTCAAATTTATTTCATACCTTCTAACAACTAGGATAATCATTGTGGCTAACTTTAGTTGAATGTTGAAGGAAAGTATAAAACTTCACACAGAATAGTTTAAAGCCTTTGAACAAAAGAAAAGGGAATTAGTTTAGGGAACAAGTTTAACTATGATCATACATCAAATACATTCTCTCCGAGAAAATAATTTTAAAAATCTAGTATCTGTCCACATTAAAGACCTGAATAAAAGCACAATAAAGCAAAGCCCATAACAGAGCATGCTAAATTATGCATGATGTTTTGTAGAATTCCTAATTCATGTGTTACACATGCATTCTTTCTATTGTGCATTATACTGTTCTCAAAAACAGAGAATTCAATCTAATTATGAATGAAGAGAAGAGATTTACCTTCTGTTTCTCTTTTTCCCCCACCCCTACCCCTTAGTTGTCTGTGCCTTGGCAAGAGAAATTATTAATCTACTAGTAACAAGAAATAGAAACTAATCTTTAGTCCTTTTGCTAACATGGAGGTAGCTTTTCACCTTTGAAAGGTAATTAATTTGCTAAACTGAACACAAGGGAAGTTATTGTATGCTGAAAGACAAGTGGGAGTCCATACTAGTAAATTTGACCCAATACCATCTTACTTAAATTTCCAGTACTTTTCAATGAAACTGGGATCTGTAAGTGAAAAGAGTAATGAAGGTGTCCTTGAAAAGACTAATCTATTTGCTGTGGTCCCCCAGATTCTCAATTGGAGAGTCCCGTTATGATTTCATATCTTTTCCATAGCCGTGATAACGGCCTCCCCGTTTCTACTTCTTTCTCATATTCTGAGCTCTTCCTAATGTCCCACCCCCTCCTTTATCCCCAGGGAGAGAGGAAGAACAGATAACATTGAGGTTGGGAAGTGGGGAGTGAGAATGTGAAAGGAGCATGCCTGAGCTGGTCCTAGACAGGCCTCCAGCGTCCAGCCTTCTCCAAATACCAAGGGACTCCCAGGCATGCCCAGATGGCACTGCCACATCAAGGATGTTTAATATCAACAATATTGCACTTGGAGAATTGGTGATAGTGAACTCTGGAATCAGGCTGCTCAAGTTCAAACACTGACTTTCAAACTCTGCTTTATCTCACCACCTGAGATTCTTCATTGGTATAATTGTAGCATTTCCCTCAAAGAGTGGTTCTGAGGATCTGTACATAGTGCATATGTGGCACAATGCCAAGCACATAATGAGTCCTTCATAAATATTGGCTATTGTTATTACCTATTGAGCTCCTACTATGTGCCAAGGGTTTTATCTGATTATCCCAAAACTTCCAGAGTAATTACGATGAACTACATGTTATGAAAGAGACTCAGAGAAGTAACTTTTTTACATGCCTCATTAATGACCAGTGAGGGACTGTATGACCCCCAACACAAGAGAAGCTCAATCTAGATCATTGCTATAGGATTTCAAACTATCCTCATTTGCGTTTTCAGTACTAGAATCAACTGAGGACCGTTCCCTCTTCTTGAAGTGAAAGCATGGTATTCCTAAAATAATGACAGCAACTTTGAACATCAGTATTATCATTGTGCCCATTTTACAGTTGAGGAAAACTGAGAAACAAAGAACTCATCTGACTTTCTCCATGACGCAGAGTCCCACTCATGCCAGTTTTTCTAACTGCAAACTCCACATTCTACCCATGATACTGCTTTTCCGACTTCTTCTCAAGGGGGATTGATCGGCACTCTCTGAAATTCCCAGATGCTCCCCAAAAAAGATTTTTCTAAAGGCTGGCCAAAGTGGACCATAAAAAGAAAAAAGAAGTACATTCTCCATTTTCTGTTCCCTGAGGTGTAGGGAAAGTGGGTTTCAAATATCCAGTGAGGAGCATTTCACCATCTTTCTGCCAAGAGATATTATCAACAAAAGTATTCAATGTCTAGGGAAAATCATGGCCTTTACAAAAAAGCTTGCAAGCTTCTTTTGTAAAGATTAAGACTAGCTATCTTTGCTGCTAAGCTCTTTCCTGTTGCAAAGATGTCACCATTAACTTTTCCTACATGTTTGGGAAGAAAAATCTTTGAGAATATTTTCCTTTTTGTCTAGCTGACTGAAAAAACAAACAAACAAAAAAAAAAACCCTGCAAATGTTACCCTTTGCAGCATGAGGGTTCAAGGGTCCATCTGGACCTGTGGCTATCTGAGGCATTGTGGGACTCTTTTCCATGCAGACAATGCATGAATACCCAGGAATTATGTGACCCCATTGTAAACATCACTGAAACAGGATGCAGTTGCTTGGTGGCCCCCAGAGATCCCGTATGTTGCCACTTGTAAAATGTGCATTGTCACAAGTGTTAAAAAACCACCACTGTCAGTGTTACGTGCTTGCATAAGCCTCCATTGTATGAGATCAAGGGGTTAAGGGCAAACCAGAACCCAGCACAGCTTCTATACAGATGTTTGAGTTGCCATTGGCTTCAAGACTGATTACATCCAACAAACAGAGGCCCATAACAGTTAACACCAGTGATTGAGACAGTTCAAGTAAACAGCTCAATTTTGCCTTAACCCTGTATATTTTAAGAGTATGAATTTAGAACTGATACCGGGTTAGAGAAAAGATAATAGCATATAGAAAGAACATTACAGGTTGTTCTAGCAACTTCCATCTTAAGTGCTTACGGAAGGAATCTTCCGAATAGCTTCTTGGACTTCATAGGAGATTTCTCTACCATTTCAAATGCTGGTAAAGAAAGAGGTTGAGGATGCAGGATGAACACTCTTCTTTGGAACAAAGATCCTGCAGTTCGCCAGAACATCTTTTGTTCATCCAGGAACCCAATCGCAGGGGCAGGACATCTGGGTGCATAGTCTCAACAAAAGCTGTTTTTAGAAACTGTGTTTGCTGTGTATGTGTAGGGCATGTGGAATGGGGGCTAGGGAAGTCTGTCTTATTTTCTCCCCAAGACATTACCTGTGAAATCTGGGACTATAGTGAAGAACTTTATCTCCCTCCTCTTTCCATTTCCTTTTTTGTTTGTTTGTTTATACCTCAGCATTGCTAACTTGGATTTTAGAACAGCATGGTGATAGGTTGTGGCTGTTGAGGTATACAATTCCCTTGACCATTTTCTTCTTTCCTTCTATAAGGAAAATTTAATGGAAGTATCATCCATGAAAACTTTATTTAGATATATGTCTTCCTACCCTGAATACTCTCTTTCTGTAAGATTACAAACATAATGTCTATCCCTCCAGGTTCATTTTCTCAGCAAATAGCTTTGTTTCTTTCCTTCAAAAACCATTAGTATTTTATACATGGTTCCATCACTACTATTTTTAACACAGCTGTTCCCTTTAACTCTCAATATTATAATGTTAACCAAATTAGTAGGCACTGGGAGGCACAGATTTTATTATATTCGGTGTTTATGTGTGAAACAACCACAATTTCCATTTAGTTTATAATATACTAGTTTATTATGTGATTATGAAGTTTTGCTTTCTAGTCAAAAATACTTAAAGGTTATATTCATCCTCTCTCTCTCTTTTTCTTTCTCAGGCACAGAAATCCTGGATAGAAAGAGCATTTTATAAAAGAGAATGTGTTCACATCATACCCAGCACCAAAGACCCCCATAGGTAAATATATAATCTTATTGTGTCTAATGTATCAAGAATACCCATTGCAGGGGACGATGTCAAAGTAAATATCTTTTGTTGTAGTTGTTATTATTGCTGGACATTTTCAAAGCAATCGTGTGTGTGTGTGTGTGTGTATGCCCTATATAACATGCCATATTTACAGTTAATTCTGAATTTAAGAGACTTCACAGAATAGCAGATATACTGTTGCAGAAGGAACTAATCACTGTATATAACACTGAGCTATATATATTTTTGCTATGGTTACTGGTTCTTCCTTCTAAGCATTTTGTTAAAATGCTTAGTTCATACCAACATGCTCCACTCTAGTAAAAAAGATGCTTTAAAATTAAAAAAAAAAAAATCCTAGCAAATTACTGATGTGTGACTGCAGAACTTTAGAATTCTTGGCACATTTTTTTGGTACTTCTTTACCTTCCTGAAGATCAACAGTATGTAAGGCAGAAAGCATTTGGAATAAAGTAGCACATCCATGTCTAAGATGCTTTTATAAGCTGGCAATATAATAAAACAGTTTAAAGTATAGATCATGCCATCATAAAGACTCCTTTATAACCTTGAACAAATCACCTGACTTTCAAATATTTCATCATAGAATGGATGATGAATTGTTAGTGTTTAATAAATGGTAGTTTCATGTTATATCTATTAATACTAATAATTGTCACAGAGGTAGTAGTAGTGCATGAAGGACATTTTCATTGTCAAAGGAACAAATTTGAACTTTTCAAATATCTCATGAGTATTTTCTTTCTTGTTTCTTCAAGAACACTTAACTCTGCAGATTTTTCTTCTTGGAATTGGATATTTGACAGCAAATATCAATTGGAGAGAGACTAGTTAGGTTGTGACTCACGTATAAGTGAGATTCCTCATTTAAATGAGCATGTTAAAATTCTTCCCTCAAAGCTCTTCAGTATTCTTCGTGTAATACTTGATAGCTGGGAGGAACAAGAATTAGAAAAATTCTAGGGAACTTTTTTGTTCATAGGTGTCTTATCCTAAACAATATGCCAGGTGGGAAAGGTGTGGCTGGAGAAGGCAGGATGCATGTTGTAGCTTTTATCACTAAAGCAAAGTGGGGAAAGAAGAGGAGAAAAGGAGATATGTTTGTCATATGGAGCCAGAGTTTGCATTTGCCTAATATAAGAATATAACATAATATAATAATAATTCGAGGATTTTACCTAAGAATTGACTGAAATGGGTCAATATGAACTGCAGGTTTCTGCAGCAGTTGCTTATGTATTCCAATAGTGGCTCACACAAGGGGTTCACTTTAACCTCTTATGTTATAGGTGTTGCTGTGGGCGTCTAATAGGCCAGCATGTCGGACTCACTCCCAGTATCTCTGTGCTTCAGAATGAGAAAAATGAAAGTCGCCTCTCCCGAAATGACATCCAGTCTGAGAAGTGGTCCATCAGCAAACACACTCAGCTCAGCCCAACGGATGCTTTTGGGACCATTGAGTTCCAAGGAGGTGGCCATTCCAACAAAGCCATGGTAATCAAAAAGCAGCACTCCCCAGGGCAACCTCCTGCCCTGCAGAGGAATGGTGAAGCCCCTGAGATTTAGTCTTGTGGCTTCATCTCAGCCCTGCCACTCTCTGGTGGGGCAACCTGCTCTAATTATCTTCCCCTGCAGGGGGGGAATTTTTCCTCCCAGAATTTAAAAAATAATTAATATAAGATCAAGCACAGTGATTAGTATTAATAATAAGACAGATATCCTTTTTTTTTTGGTTGATCAACAGATATAGATTGTACATTTTAATGGAGTTTGGTGTGATATTTCCACAGCTGCATACAATATACACTGATCAAATTCAACCTTCTTTTAACCAACCCCCACATATACACCTTTCCCAACCTCTAATCACTATTAATCAACCTCTTAACCACCTTTCTACAATTAGGTCCACATTTTTTAGTTTCCATGTATGAGACAGAGAACATGCTGCACTTCTCTTTTTGTTTGGCTTATTTTCTATAGCTATCCACTATTTGATATATTATTTTCTGTATCTTATCTATTCCAAACTTTTTCTAAATCTCCCCCCGCCTCACCCTTTGGTGGAAAATGTTACCTTTGGTTTCTGTTTATTCTGCTACTAAAGTAGCAGTTCTCCTTATTCAAAGTAGACACAATCATATCAGCCTATTTCCTTCCGTGTCCTAATAGAGATCTTGTCATTTGTACTGAAGGATCTTGTCATCTATACTGAATGCTTTTTGTCCAAGCAGCTGTGTTCAGTAAAGTTCTTAATAGAAAAGTTGCATATGAGAAGAACTTTTTAAAAGAAGTATCAGAAAATATACAAATTTTACTTTTAACAGTTGTCACTTCTAAATTTCAGCTCTCATCAAAGACCACTCCCTAACATGGCTGACAGATTCTGCAAGGCATAGAATATAGCATATGTTTTGAAAATTCTAGAAATAGTATAGTACAAGCTTGCCTCTGTTAAGAGTTGGCTTAGGGTGGAGTAGCTGGAAGTGGTTTCTCTTAGGCAAGCCATAGAGCTTTTCAAGTTTGAAGAGAAAATTCTGCTAAGAGAAGCACACTACTAAATTCACTAAGAGTCAACTCACGACTTTCAGGCTAAAAATGCAATGAGGCCACTTCCCACTTTTTCTCTCTCTCCTCCTTTCATTTTTCCTCATCCTCCTCTCCTCACTGCAATAATTTATTTACCAAGAGTGGGTAACTGAGCTATTCTCACAGTTTTTCCTTAAGAAATTTAGTTTTGAGCTATAGAGTAAATCAAAGCCAATTTTTGAACTATATATTGGAAAGAAAAGGGTGCTATTGGTAACATCCAGCTGGGTTTGAGGGAAAAAAGGAATAGGTTAGTCTTATCCTATGTAGAAATAAATAAAGGAAATAGAGGCTGCCAACTTTCCCACCCAAATATGGGATGTATTTGCCTACACAAAATTACAAAGGATCCCCAACTTAGAACACTCCTTGAATTGAGCTTATGGAATCATGCCTAAAAAGTCATGTAAGTTCTTTCTGTATGAAAAGTGTTGCTTATGGAGAAAGGGCTCATTGAGCAATAATCATTGCAGAGAGGGACACCCAGCAACTTCACAGGTGCTCCAGTGGTGCCTGAAAGCAATGCCATAAGCCCAGAAGGCACATGGTAAGCGTCTGGTCATCATCTCCATTGTTAATATCCAAGGTCAAATATGGACACAAATATGTTTGGAGGTAAGAGTGTTCCTCCAAGGTCAACAGCTTGGAAGACCCATGGTGATGCCATTGTCCAAAAATGTGTTGCTCTTTTGGGGACTGACTTCAGATAATTTATAGATCATAAAAGAATGGTAGTCTATATTTTCTCCAAATGATAGTTTTGACAGAAAACTCAAGTACCTAAGAATTACAAGACATAGAGCTTAGTTATGAATAGCTTCTGCCAGTTTTTACAAGTCCAGTTTATTCTCTGAAAGTAAAGCTTGCCACCATAAAACTGTCTAAAAGAGTAGAATATTAGTTTAGTAGTGAAGAGTGTAGATCTTGGATTTACATGGTTTAAATTTACCTCATAACCATCCCATAAATGCTGTGTAACAGAGAGAAAGTTACTTACGTTTTCTTGACCTCAATTATTTATTCTGTCATATAGACTGTTGATATTATCATAAACATTGAGATGACATATGTAAAACATTGACACAGTTTCAGACACATAAATAGATGTAAAACTAATTTAGCTACTATTATTATTATCACTATCATTATTTGTCCCAGGCATTGAAAGAAATTGCAAAGTCCCTCTGACTAATACTTTAAAGGATACTCATTTGGATGTATGTGTCTCAGTATATTATTTTTAGAAGGTCAAATTATAATTTTTCTGTTAATATATTTGCATAGGCACATGCCAGTAATTCCAGCAGCTGAAGAAGCTAAGGCAGGAGGATGGCAAGTTCAAAGTCAGCCTCAGTAAAAAGTGAGATGCTAAGCAACTCAGTGAGACCCTGTCTCTAAATAAAACACAAAATACGGCTGAGGATGTGGCTCAGTGGTCAAGTGCCCCTGAGTTCAATCCCCATTAAGCCCCACCCCCCAAAAAAATGAAGTTCTGACTCATAGTCTACTTCTATGATGGATCATAAAATCGGAAGCAACGTTGCTTTTCAGCAATAGCCTGGCTCTATCATTCACTGGTCAAGTGACTTTGTCCAGTTTATTTAGCTTCCCAGTGCAGTAGTTTCCTTATCTGTAAAATGGGTATTGTCATTTCTACTTCTCAGGGCTGTCTCCAGGATTAAATGAGTGAATACATGTTCAGTGTGTAGAACATTACCTGATGTTTAAAGATAACTAAGCATTTGCAACTGTTAAAGTTTACTGACTCTATTTAAAAGAGAAGCTTCATAATCAGTTAGAAGAAAATACACAGGCTAAGTTACTCTGGGGTAGACTACTTACCTGAGATGCAGAAGGCTATGAGTTTAATCCCCAGCACCACACACACACACACACACACACAAAGATGCATGATCTTAAAGTCAGGCAGAACTGGATATAAACTCTTATTCTTTCACTGTCTCATTGGAAAGTCGTGGTTAAACCATTTAATTCAGTAGAGACTCAAGTTTTGTTGTTGTTGTTGTTTTGTTTTGTTTTTAAATCTCTAAAACAGTCTTGGTTGCCTTATTTGGTGCTTATGAGAAGTAAAGAGAACATAAAAACCAGATGGTATATAGGGCTAGTGCTCAAGATATTTGTGAAAATACTAACTGCTTATGAAAAACTAGTGATAGAGCAGTGAAACACCTTCATTTACTTCCTGGGATTCCAAAAATGTGTTAGAGTATTTGCACAGGAGCAGCTGGTTGCATAAGTCAGCATTCTGATCTCTGTCCTCTGAACACCAGCACTGATTGACTGTCACTGGCAGGAAGCTAGCACTGTGAACACCATCCACCACTGACTGGAGATGAGGGGGTCTTTGGTCCCACATATATACTTTGACTGCCATATTCATCAATCTCCTGCATCCACTAATTCCAGCACAATAGAGCATGAATATGTCACCTGTATCCCCTCTGCTTTATTCCCTGAGTCCCCCAACAATTAAACAGCTGCTGTGGGTGTGCTGTTATGATGGACACAGCCCATCCCTCCTCATCATATAATATTCTTCTGTGTAAGCTTCTTTACTGGTCCTGAAAATGTCTAATGAACATGAGAGACTCTGAAAAAACTGAAGACTGAAAATCAAATGAGTTTATTAGAATACCCTTCAAAGTATTAATCAAAATACTTCGGCAATTCATTTTAGATTCTGTAGTATATCATAATCATGAAAATAGCAACTAAAATATATTGAATATCTACTATATTTCTGGCACTGTGCTTGGTACTTAGCTGTGTTTTTTATGTTTATGACAGGAATATTAGTCTACATGACATAATAACATACTGGGGTCTTAAAGTATTTGTCTGGCTGGGCATGGTGGCACATATATGTAATCTCAGCAGATCAGAAGGCTGAGGCAGGAGTGTCATGAGTTTGGAGCCGGCCTTAGCAACTTAGAGAGGTCCTAAGCATCTCAGTAAGACCCTATCCCTATATAAAATATTTAAAAAGGGCTAGGAATATGTCTCAGTGGTTAAGTGCCTCTGCCTGGGTTCAATCTAGAGTACAAAAAAAAAAGTATTTGTCCCATGTCATATAGCAAATATAGACTGTATGCATATTCTTACATTTAGCATTGGAAGAAGAGTCTAAAGAGGATGACTGATCTTTCACCAGAAGAGTGAAGATATGCAGATATCTGGTTTTGACAGCCCTCCTCAGGCTCCACCTAGTGCTCTAGAACCCAGAGCACATGGTGGTCACATTAGGCAAGGTCAATTAATTAGTGGACACCAATGCAATGTGAAAATGTATGCTTGTGACAGGGAAAGGGGAATCAATCCCCTCTTCCCATGACTGGCAGCCCCAACTCTCAGTGACTGGTGATCTCCACTCCCAAGGTCTTTGCACCCCTACCTGAGATAGGCTCAGTGTACGAAGTGGGTAAACTTCCCAGCAAGTTATCCAAGAAACTCACCATGGCCTTGCCCACCCAGGGCAGATGTTTCAGCACACAGGTCCAAACAGAGGCATCAAGGAAGCAAGAGCAGGACCACATAGTCCTAGCCCTTGTGGGCTCCTCGGTCCCATCAGACTTCACTTGCCAAACACAAATCCAAAGATAAAATTATGAAGAATTTCAAGATAGGAAGCCTAGAACCATAAACCCCAAGCACTGCCCTTCTGAGCAGTGTGACTATCCTGATTGCACACCTCTGATGCTAATGGAGTTGAGGGTGGCCAAAGGAGGTCTCAGAGTAAGCACTACAAAGGCAGGCCTTTCTCTCTCAGTCTTGATCAACCAAATGAAGACCTGTTTTCTTTTGGGGTTACTCAGAGGCACTCAAACACTGAGCCCTTTTTTTGCATTTTATTTAGAGACAAAATCTCACTAAGTTGCTTAGCACCT